ATTTTTTTTTTTTCATGTTGTTTTCTCAAAAAATGGAAATAAAGACCCTTAAACAGCCTCCTCAACCTAAGTCGAGCTCCCGACAAACGGCCGCTCTCACTCTCGACAAAGCAGTCGAGCACGAGCTCAAAAACGGCCGCATATTGGACCCTAACATTGACGAGAAGAAACTCAGAAGGTGAATTAAAATATTGCTATATATCAATTTGTTAATTACATTTTTTTAAGGTTTGAACTTATAATTTGTTTGTCACCTGAATTAACTAACTCCATTTTATATTTTTTTGTAATATTTTAATTTTCTAGGACAATCTCCAACAGGCTTTCTGCTCAGAGGTCCAGATTGAGAAAAAATCAGTACATTAATGACATGGAAAAAATGGTTCTTGATTTAGAGGTATAATATAATTATTGCACGTGACCATAATAATATAAATATAACATATATGTGTATTTTACTCCGCTTGTTCCTCAAATTAAACAATGTTGAATACTTGAATTAGGGTTTATACCTATATATAATATACTTGCATTTTTTTTTATTTATATTTTGTTTGCAGAAATTGATATCGATTCTTACCCCTCGAGTCAAAAGCTACGAGGAGAAGAGGACACTACTGCTCGTTCAGAACAACTCGCTCCAAAACTTGTTAGAGCTACACTTGAACGGATCTAAGCGCTCGGAAAGTAATTATTTAATTCTCTATATGTTATATAGTATTTCACTTCGGATTTTTATAATTTTATAATGTTATAATAATACGACATATGTGCATGATGATGTCATTTTCTATAGGAAATTGCAGTCATGATATACTTTATAAGAGTTAATTAGCATATCTATACTTATATTAAAGGGAGTCATATTTACCAAATTAAGTAGCCAGAAAAGTCAACAGCATTTATTGCATTACTATTTCCGTATTATACAATCTATACTTATATAAAAGGAGATTCTATTTACTACATTTACTATTCAGAAAAATCAACTGCATTAAATGCCATTACTATTTTGGTATTATAATATTTTATTTATTTAATTGATTTATTTATTTGTATTATTTTAAAAAGGTAAGTATAACAAAAAAGATTTTAATAATAAAAAAATCAAATACCAAATAAAAATGTACACTATGACTTATTTGATTATATTTGGTATTTGATTATACCAAATATATTCCTATTTAGTATATACATTAAATACTTACTAAAGTATTTATTTGTTTTATTTGTCAAAGTTAAATATAGATTTGTTTATATTATCAAATCATAAAAAAATATTAAATCCATATTGTAAAAAAAAAAATCATATAATTTTATAACAATTCTACTACACTATTTAACAATATTTTTTTATTATATAATAAAATAATAATTAA